GAGAGAGAGAGAGAGAGAGAGAGAGAGAGAGAGAGAGAAAGAGAAAGAGAGAGAGAGAGAGGGACAGGAAGAGAGACAGAGAGAGACAGAGACAGAGAGAGAGAGAGAGGGACAGGAAGAGAGACAGAGAGAGACAGAGACAGAGAGAGAGAGAGAAGCAGAGAGACAGAGACAGAGAGACAGAGACAGAGAGAGACACACAGAGAGAGAGAGAGAGAGAGAGAGAGAAGGAAAACAGAACAGGACATAAAGGAGGTAAATGCAGCTCCTGACCCAGAATGGGAGCTCACTAAGTCATGTCATTCTCCACATCTGGATTTACACCTGGATCTGGACAGTTCTTACGAGTTTTCACTGCTGGTCTGCATCATCCTCAAACTCTCCTCTGCTCCCATCATCTCCTCTGTGCTCCAGTACTGTGCCCAGTTTTTTTGTTCATGTATCTGTCAATCTTCTTGGGTGGCAAAGTCCTTAAAAGCAGGCACCTGGCACTTGCCGCTGTACCTGGTCCACCATAGAAGATTAATCTACATTTGCTGAATGGATCAGTCATGGAGGAGAGCTAAAAGAATAAGACACACTGGACTCTACTGCAGCCCCATCTGGAGGCCCCCATAGCCGAGGAGATACATAGGACACATATGCAAGGGGACACCAACGCCACCATGGCTGGACTGGTCTGGGGATCTTCATGGAGGAGATGGAGCTAGACTGGGCCACCTAAATGCTGGGGGCTGGTCAGCTGAACAGGGGCATGGAGGGCACTGTAGGAGGGAGGAATGGCTTGAGCCAAGGTTCAGGTGGGAATGGGCAAGGGGGGCATTGTGTATGGCAAGAGGGCAGGGTCTGTGTAGAGAAGTCCTGAAAGGGAGGGTGAGGCATGCTGTGGAGGCTTTTGATGCAGAGAGTGGGGCTTGGCATTTTTTTCTTTTCTAGTGATGCATCATCTCCAGCCGCCCCAAGCCAAACACAGGTATCAGACACATCCGCTCACTGCCCTCCCTGTGAGGATTCCATGGATGGTGGTGGTGCATGTGGCATGTTTTCTGTGCGCTATGGAAAAGTTGGGGCTGCCTTGCCCTGTTTTCTCCTGTAACTCCGTGGATGAAGAACCAGCCCTGGACTCTTGGCATCTCAGGGAACCTCCACTATCTCGGGCCCTGCTGTTCTAGGACAAGCTTCTCTCTTCCCCTTGACGTTCTGGTCCTTGGTTTCAGTTCTCCCCCTGTGGCCTCCTCTTTCACTCTTTGCATGTGCTCCCCATATAAATCAGTCCTCTGTACAGATCTGCATCCTACAGTTAAACAAACATTCATGTAAACACTGTGTCTGAGCTCCTGAGTGTGCCCCACAAAAAGCTCACAGAATGTGCAGGCAGGACAATTGCCATGTGATTGCAGGGTTGGTGACAAAGCTAAACAGGGACCCCGAGACTCCAGGTCATTTATTCACTGATTCAGCTATCAACTATAACATTACTGTGGTTTGAGGGTTTAGAGGTGGTTACACTGTATTTGTTTTGGAAGACTTTCATTTATTTATTTTTGTTAATTGACACTGAAAAGCCATCTACATTTA